AAATGTTGGCAAGGATGTGGTGAAAAAGGAACTCTCCGACATTGCTGGTGGGGGTGCAAATTGGTCCAACTATTATGGAGAGCTGTCTGGAGGTTCCTCAGTCTACTAAATATGGAGCTATCATATGACCCGGCAATTCCACTCCTAGGGATCTACCCAAAGGACACAAAAACAGTGATTCAAGAGAGCACCTGTAAACCTATGTTTATAGCAGCACTATTTACAATAGGTAAAACCTGGAAACAACCCAACTGCCCAAAAATAGATGACTGGATCAAGAAGATGTGGTATATATACACAATGGAATATTATTCAGCATTCAAAAAAGATAAACTCATGCCATTTGCAGCAACCTGGATGGAGCTAGAAGGAATGATGCTCAGTGAAATAAGCCAGAAGGAAAAATAAAAAATATCAGATGGTTTCATTTATAACAGGAATAGGGGAACCAAATAAGACATCAGTATAAAAAAATAATAACAGTACAAAACACAACAGAGCAAAAACAGACAATTATTAATAAGAGACATCCAGCAGGGGAGGAGGAAGGAGAAGGATGAGAGGGAGGGAAGGAGGAGCACAGGGGACTGCGGTGATGGTGCATGGGTGTCTTGGGGAAGGAAATTCTATGGGGACTCAATCTGAGGGGATAAGGGAAGGCAAATATTGTTTTAAAAATATAAACAAATGATAAATGTTAAAATTTAAAAAAAATGTGAATATGGCAAAAAAAAAAAGAAAGAAAGAAAAAGAAAGAAAGCGTAGTTAAGATGAGAGTTTCATCAGGTTCCTGAGAGGAATCGGTCTTCCAAGAGACTTGAATGATATGAAATATCGTTGAATCCTTATACTTTCAGTATAAGCACCCTGAGGACTGTGTGCAGTGATACAGGACAGCTGCCATCACCGCTGCTGCAGAATCGGAGGCTGGGGAAGGGTTAACCAACCTGCCCAAGGGCTATGACTACAGGCAACTTGACCTCATGTGCTGACCTTTAGGCAGAGCTACATGGCCCTCTGCAGCCTCGCAGCTTCATACAGAAAAAGACAGCTTTTTTTCAGGGTTCCAGTGTGTGTAGCACTTTCCATGGCGACACTATCAGCTCACACAGTGTGGCAGTGCTGAGATATCATGGTCAAGGTCACTGATCAGGATGAATCAGAACATTTGTGGGAGAGAACAGCTCGAACTCCGGCCTTGATGTGGTTTCTCTTCATGTCTGTAACAATCAAGGTTCTCCCCGCTACCCAACACCCTAAAATGAGCAATGTGTGACTGTCCTCTGAGTGTGAACTTTAACATCCACACACAAGGGATTAGTGCAGAGGCTGGAAGAAACCCGAGAGAGGAGGATGACTAAATAGTCTGGAGCACTAACTGCCAACTAAGGGATGACGTCAATCTTTCAAAAAGGCTGGGTCCTCTTCCCAGGAGAGGGGCAGCTATGGAAAGTCTCAGTGCGCATGAGCTGCAGCAGCTCTGTCCTCATCGCCAGCCTCATGAGTGGCAGGAACATGAGCTTCGCTGGAGGGACCCTGTTCTCACTGCCCGCAAAGAAGGTTTTTTGGAATATGGGGGAGACAATGTGGGGACAAAGGCAAACCCTCTATGCTGGCGATTGTGTCAAAGTGGTATGTTTGAGGTCTTCAAGTCATGAAGTTATCTAACATTTTAGTTCTTTGATCTGAGGTATTTATAATGTGAAACACAGCCTAGGATGTTTTATGCAAGAAAGATCAAAATTCCGCCTCTACGGGCTGAGGGGCTGGGAATCCTAACCAATCACTATTATACAGCTGAAAAGATACAGAGAAATTCTCAGACAGTAGGAACATAAAAAGAAAGCATGTTCCTTGGCTGTCATGTATTTCTCATGGGCTGGTGAGAATAAACAAACAAGTTTGTGCTCTGCCCAACCACGACCTCCTACTTGCTGGGGCTCAGATTGTGGAGAGAGATCTCCTCCGGGCTGCAGGTGTGAAACCGCCAGTGTAAATAAAGCGCTTCCCTCCTCCTCTCTGAGTGCTCCTGCTCCCTCATGACAATCTGCCACAACAGTCACCCTTAAAGACAGGAAACTCTGCTGTGTTACAGCATGGATGAGCCGGGGAGAAACAACAGTCAGAGACAAAAGGAGAATATATTCATAACTTAGTAGGATTTAAAAACAGAACATGGGATGGGGGACCAGGTGACAGGAGGGACCTGGGGACACTGTTTACTGGGGAGAGTTCCAGGTTGGGAGGAGGAACCCGTTGTGCAGATGGAGAGTGGAGATGGGGCTCCACAGTGTGACGCTGATGCCAGAATTGACAATGTGTGAGATGGGGAGCAGACACATTCGTGATTTCATTTTTTTTTTAACACACTCCCCTACGCCCTCATCACACACACACAGAGAATTTGTTCAGCTGCTCACTCTCTTCACATGACCTCCTCCTTGAGGTGGAGGAATGTCCAATGTTTACCACTGCTGAATTGCTGGACAGCTGGCACTTAGATGTGGGAGAGGCCGTCATACTTCTTGATAGTCACCTGAGTAATTTCTTTCTTCTTTAGTCAACATACGAGAGTACACCGTACAGATGCTAGACAATTTCATCATGTAACGAGGGCCAAGGTCCAATACTAGGTAAACCCAGGGTTTACCTGAGATTTAATCTCAAAATTTACATTTCTCCCATCTACACGTTCTCTTTGCTGCCATCATCTTCTCATTGTGGTGCCCCCATCTCCACTCTCCATCTGCACAAACCGAGAATCATTCCTACTTGAATCCCAACCCAGTGAACATCACCACCTGTGTTCCTTCTCCCTCCTGGTACAGGGATGTGTAAATCTCCATTCCTGAGTGAGTGTGTGAAGGGAAGGCTTTGGCGAACATCAGCAAGCACGGCTGGCTGGTGCTTCCCATGTCCTCAAAGGGGAGCTCTCCGGGCTGAATGTGATCATAGTTGCCAGCAATAAGCATCCACCCAGCCAGAGTCTGTTTACCATCTGTTAGTTTACTAGGAGCAGAAAGCAAACCACCCAGCTGGTGGGATTCACTTTAATTTGCAGATACAAAATTGCAATTTCCACTGCTCACCCCAAGTGGCAGTGACTGAGATATTGTGGTCAAGCTCACTGATCAGGATGAATTGGAACGGTTGTGGAGTGGGAGAGAGTAGCTCGAACCCTGGCTCTGTGTGGTTTCCCTTCATGTTTAACAAGGGAGGTTCTCCCTGCACCCAAGACCCTAACACGAGGGAACGTGTGACTGTCCTTTGAGAGTTAACTTTAACACCCACACAGGAGGGATTAGTGCAGAGGTTGAAAACACCCGTTTGAGAGGCAGGATGACTAAAAGCTGGGTTCCCTTCCCAGGAGAGGGGCAGCTATGGAAAGTCTCAGAGACCCCCAGTGCACTTGAGCTGCAGCAGCTTGTCCTCATCACCAGCGTCATGGCTTGCAGGATCATGAGCTCACCTGGAGGGACTCTGTTCTCACTGCTCACATAGAATGGTTTGTTAACGCAGGGGAGGCCTCATGTGCTGACCCTCAGGCACAGCTATATGGACCTCTACAGCCTCACCAGGAAACGCTGCACACAGCACAAGACAGTAACCATCTAAAAGAAGCCTTTCTCCACCTCCTATCTCTATGTCGAAAGTTGTGTCCATCAAGACTCTCTTCCAGGAAGCTCCCCGGATTCGCTCCCAAATTAGTGGGTGGGGTCTAAACCCACAGAAAGGAACTCCAGGGAGTTTCCTTTTGCTGATTGTGTGAGCCTCGCAGACTGCAGGAGAAATGAAATCTGGTGGTCTCTGTGCCCGTTTTGGGAATCTGTCACATGACCTTGCACATCGTGGTTTCTCTCATGTTGGACACGTGAAGATGAAAGAACTTGGCGCATATTTCGACCATCAGATTCCACAGCAGGGTGTCATTACTGCAAGAGGGAACAGGGAAGAGACTCTCCCCATCCTAAGAAAGTCCATATGGACCTAGGGATTGTATTTTTGGGAAACGTCCGAGAGACAGGGATGGGAGGTGAGGGGGGCAGCCCAAAGCACGTGACAGATAGGAGGACAGGCTTGACGGTCAGCCGCCTCTGACTATGAAGAACCAGGCACAGGAGAAGAAGACATTGTCTCAAGAAGCCCAGAGGTGAGACAAGTCTTGGGTGACCCTAAAAGTGGCAGACAAAAAAAAAAATCACCCACTTGGTGAATCAGGGGCCACTTACCTGCCTCATTCCATTTTCCTTAGACTGGCCTACTGATACTAGCCTGAACCAGGACACTTTAACACTTCTAGTGAGATAAAAGAAAACCTAAAGTCACTGAAAAAACATCTGTATTACAGATGGCCTTACAGGCAGGACAAGGGCCTAGTAGGCTGCAATCTATCTTTGCATCTAAAGGAAACCCTCTTCTTTCCTCCGTGCTCCTCTTTCTTGTTCCCTAATTTTCAGAATCTGTCACATGACCTTGCACATAGTGGCTTCTCATCTTTCACACACATGTGAATGTAAAACAGGTTGGCTGTGTCTGGACTAGTGTATTCTACAGCTGGGGGCATCATGGCAACAGTAAATGGGAGTGAGACTCTCCCCATCCTTGAAAGTCCATATGGACCATAGGATTATATTTTGGGGAACTACCATGAACTAATTTTCAGAAGAACAAGAGGGTGAAAGTTTTATATTTAGGCCACAATCTTTGATATTGATCTAAACAACCATAGATCTGGGAGTTCAGCCTTAGAGGAAGTGCTGCTGCAGGAGTCCAGGGTGCTTACTCCCCTTATACTCTGACACATCTTTGACAAGATGATGTTTGTCTGCTGTGCTGGAGGGACTGCGCTCAGCTCCAGCAGATGAGCTTCCAGGTGTCCTCACAGAACAGTTGGAGCTGCTCCCCGTGTTCCTCACACAGCCTCTCAGGCTCCCTATCTCCAGGTGGGCTTCTATAAGAGCTTGATTAAAAACCCGAACAAGCCCTCTCATCCTTTTTACCTCACACAAAGGACGGTCCGAGCTCCATGATGATTCCTCTGGTTGCTTGTCAACGCTGCCCTCTACGCGCCCACGGCAGCAGCTGTGCCCAGAGCTGGAGCTCACGGGCTCTGCCATAAGCTGCTTGCAGATGGCACAGGTGGCCTCCTTCCTTATCCTCTTGGAAGCAAGGAGGTTGGCCATTGCTTTTCCTGAAGAGCTCCCAATAATGGCTAGAGGCAGAGATGAAATACACATAATTCTTCACAGTGAAGGACACACAGGTGACCTCCGCCTCTGTGCCTCCACAATACCGTTTAATTGATTACAGTTTATTTGTAACAATTACATAGTACAAAATGTCTTAAAAATGATGGCTTTTAAAAGAAAGATAATTCTTTAGGGGCGATAAATGCTCATTTCAGAAATACACTGAGTGACAATGTAATGTCTTGTGTAAAGATAACAGTAGATAAATCAACTCAGTGAAATCTGAACATGAGCTACATCAATTCCTGCTTTTCCCTTCCATGTGTCTTCATTGGCTCAAAATTAGAGGTACTTTATTTTAAATTGCCTGTGTTATTCTCTTGTCAGGACAGGGAAGAGGAAATACTAACTAGGTCATAATCCCCTATCTGAAATCCTTGGGACAAATATAAAAATTAGTAATATTTTTGAGATTATGATGACATAATGTACAGATCCTCTAAATTATGTGCCCACCCCCAGCAGGGTCTGCCATAGCCTTGCATCAGTACATCAACAGTCCTGCACAAAGTAGAGCTAATAAAGATGTTAAGGGGGGACCACAATAGAGGGCGACTCCAGGGTGTTTGCATGATCCCTGCCTCCTCATTTTCCTAGCCTTGTATAACTCCTTCCATTTGAGTGTGGGCATAAGCTGATAATTGCCTCTGAGCAATGGCAAACATGATGGGATCCACCACTATGGTCATATTTCCTTACCTAGGACCCCATATCACAGTTGACTTAATTTAAAGACTATCTCCTCAGCTCAACTCACTTTAAAGAAATAACTACCCATGTGCCATGTAATGAGTGGTAGCCTCCAGAAGCTGAGGCAACTCTCAGGTGATAAGAATCACGGTCTCAGTCCTCTACCCACAACAAAAAGAATTCTGCCAACAACTGGAAGAAGATGGGGAGAGGATTATTCCCCACATGAGTCACCAGATGACACGCAGCCCAGCCAGTCCCATTAACTGGTCTTTGTGACCCCACCTGAGCTGTGTCCAGATTTCCCACACAAGATTTTTTGAGAAAATGCATTTATTTACCTTTAAGCAACTAAAGAGTTCTACAGCAACATATAACTGAATAAACCAGCAAATAATATCTGGTTGGGGCTAATTTAGCAGAGAAATGAGTTAGGTGGAAACACTGAGCTTTTTAGAGCATTGAATTATGTAACTGTGGATAAGGGAATTGAAAATGTCATTTGGGTCAAGGCCCCAAAATTATTTATATCATCAACCTTTCTTGTATTGTTCTCAGACTTACTGAAATATTAATGCAATCCTTATGGCCCAGTTACTGTACTAAGCTCGTACAAATTTGATGCACTTAATTTTTAGGGCAAGCGGTAAAAGGGAAACTGGAATGAAGGAATTGCTTTACTCTGAGACACAGTGAATCAATGGGCGAGCAGGCATCTGAAGAGTCCCCAGAGGTCCCCAGTATCTTGAGTCCCTGAGGAAGCTCTGGAGCATCCTGAAATCTCTACTGGAACAAATACACACCTGCTGTCTGTCAGCCTGTCCTGGGATAGGTGGTGAATGTGGTTAATAATGAAGTTAACTTCCATCCCCAGACTGAAGAAATCTTGACTTTCCATACCTGGGTAGATCTTTAATGGTTTTCTCACATCACAGTGGATCTCAGAATGGGTGAAGTCAGTGTGAGGCTCCGAAGACACGGACTCTGGGACTGAACGCCTAGACTCAGAAGAGGACAGATTTCTACATGGGACATCCCGTGAGCTCAATGTACTCATACCCCTATCCTCCAAATAAAGATAGAGCTTACCTGGTCAAGTTGTCTTTCACATCCTACAGAGACACAAGGACAAAAGGAGAGTTAGGGAATCCCCATGTTTTATGAGGCTTGGCATGAGGGGTGTTCTATGTAAACCCTCCATCCATCAAGGAACGCAGTGAGCCACACCTGGATACTGATGGGCGCCCAGGTCTCCCATCCCCACCCCCAATGGCCCACAGCATGGCAGCAAGTTGATCCTCCCAGAGCCCAGTAACCTGCTCGCTGTGACTGTGATCACAGCTGCGTGTGGGTGGCCTGAGGAGGAGGCCGGGAGACCTGTGCTCCCCCTGCACGTTCTTTCAGGGACCTGCCTGCCTTCAGATGAGTCTACATTAAGTCACTCATCACACAGGCCTCTCCTTAGTGAAGATCCACACACAGCTCTTAAGAATGGGCCACTATGGTGGTAGGAGGTGGCCATGCAGATGGAGCAAGTCAGGTAACATGGAAACTTTTCAGTGGGACTGAGTGGCTACTAAAATAAACAGTTCCCACAATTATTGTTTCTGGGATCAATCCCTCATGCATTGGGAAAAGGTCCAGGAAGGCCTCTTGGAGCATTTGAGCTAGCCACACACAAGGGAGGAAGTTCTCATACATGGGGATGTCCAGCTGCTGGTGGTTGCAGCAGACATCTCGAGGAGTCTCTCAGGAGAGAGTTGGACAATCAGGATCCTATGCACATGGGATGGATATGAAACTTACTGGAAAAAAAAGAAAATTGTTCTCTTTTAAAACATGTGTTTCCATCTAAGTCATCTAGTTCAAAGAGATCATAGTATCATGGCTATTGCAATGTCTTACTAAAAACAGAGCATGTCATAAACCTAAATGAAAATAAAGTGATATGCGAGTTTAAAAGAAAAAATAGTATTAAATTTGATATTTTATTTATTGATTTTTAAAATGATTTATTTATTTATGCACGCAAGAACTGGGGTATAGGCCAGAGGTGCAGGAGGGTGAAAGGATTCATCAGAGACAAGAGTGGGGAGGAGAACAGGCGGATTGACTGAAAACACTGTTCTTAGAGAACTGCTTGCAAAGAATGTTTTTTGTAATGTGGGGGAGGCAATGGGGAGCAAATGCAAACCCTTTCCGGTGATGAATGTGTCAAAGTGGTATGTTTGAGGTCTTCAAGACATGAAGTTATTTAACATTTCAGTTCTTGAATCTGAGGTATTTATAATGTGAAACCCGCTTTAGGATGTTCTATGCAAGAAAGGCCAAAATACTGTTTCTATCGGCTGAGGGGCTGGGCATGCTATCCAATCACTATTATAAGGCTGAAAAGATACAGAGAACTTTTCAGACACTAGGAACATAAAAAGAAAGCATGTCTCTTTGGCTGTCATCTATTTCTCATGGGTGGGTGAGAATAAACAAACAAGTTTGTGCTCTGCCCAACCACGCCCTCCGTCTATGCTCTAGCATGCAAAAGACTCAACTTCTTACCTGACATTCTCTTGATTGTTTGGCAGACTTCAAATTCTGACTCTCAGACTGTTTTACATGGTTGTTGTCTTTTTCCAAATGCTCCTGATCAAAATTGGGTGAAGAAATAAAGCATAGTTAAGATGACAGATTCATCAAGCTCCTGAGAGGAATCCCTGCCTTCCAAGAGACTAGAATGATATGAAATAACATTGAATCCTTACACTTTCAGTATAAGTGCCCAAGGACTGTGTGCAGTGATACAGGTGACCTGTTATTCCCAGGGCACAAGGCTGTAGAACTGGAGGCTGGGGAAGGGGTAACTAACCTACCCGAGGGTTATGACTATCGGATTCTTAGGCCTCATGTGCTGACCCTCAAGCAGAGCTACATGGACCTCTACAGCCTCGCCAGGAAACGCTACATGCAGAACAAGACAGTCACCATCTGAGAGAAGCCTTTTTCCACCTCCTTTATGTGGAATGTTGTCTGTGTCCATCAGGACTCTCTTCCAGGAAGCTCCCCGGATTCACTTTCAAATTAGTGGGGTCTAAACCCACATGAAGGAACTCCACGAAGTTTTCTTTTGCTGATTGTGTGAACCTCGCAGACTACAGGAGAAATGGAATCTGGTGGTCTCTGTGCCTCTTTGGGAATCTGTCACACGACCTTTCATGTCGTAGTTTTTCTAATGTTACACACAAGTGCAGATAAAAAAGACTGGCATGTATTTGGAAAACTGTATACTACAGCAGGGGGTCATCACGGTTAGAGTGAATAGGGAAGAGACTCTTCCCAACCTATGAACTCCATATGGACCACGGCATTGTATGCTGGGGAAACGTGCAGAGACAGGGGGACAGCCCAAACCACAGGCCAAGAAGGGAGGACAGGCTTGACCGTCAGCTGCCGCTAACTATGAAGAACCAGGTACAGGAGAAGAAGACATTTTTGAAGAAGCACAGAGGTGAGACAAGCCTCAGGCGAACTGAAAGGGGCAGACAAAAATAAATGACAGTCTTGGTGAATAAGGGGCAGTTACTCTGTCTTGCTCCATTTTCCTTAGACTGGCCTACGGATGACAAGCCTGAGCCAGGACACTTTGACACTTCTAGTGAGGTAAAAGAAAACTCAAAGCCATTAAAAAAAAATCTCTGTTAGATGGCCTTATAGGTGGGACAGGGCTTAGTAGGAAACAATCAGTCTTTGCAACTACAGTAAAGCCACTTCTGTCCTCCTTGATCCTTTTTCTGGTTCCCTCTCCAATTTTCATTATGATTTTCTTGTTTGGGCCTTGTGTCCTCAGCGCCCTAGTTGCTGGGGCTCAGATTGTGGAGAGAGATCTCCTCCGGGCTGTGGGTATGAAGCGGCCAGCGTAAATAAAGATCTTCCTTCCTCTCTGAGTGCTCCTGCTCCCTCATGACAATCTGCCAGAACAGTCACCCTTAAAGACAGGAAACTCTGCTGTGTTACAGCATGGACAAGCTGGGGAGACACCTCTGTCAGAGAGAAAAGGACAGTATTTTCATGAGCTAGTAGGATTTAAACAGAATGTGGGATGGGGGGACCAGGTGACAGGAGGGACCCGGGGACACTGTTTACTGGGGAGAGTTTCAGGTTGGGAGGAGGAACCCGTTGTGCAGATGGAGAGTGGAGATGGGGGCTCCACAGTGTGACCCTGATGCCAGGAATGACATTGTGTGAGATGGCGAGCAGGAACATTCGTGATTTCTTTATTTAACACACTCCCCTACACCCTCATCACACACACACACACAGAATTTGTTCAGCTGTGAACTCTGTTCAAATGACCTATTTGAGGTGGAGAAATGTCCGACGTTTACCGCTGCTGAATTGCTAGACTCATGCACTTAGATGTGGGAGAGGCCATCATACCTCATGATAGTCACCTGAGTAATTTCCTTCTTCTTTATTTAACATACAAGAGAACACCATACAGATGCTAGATAATTTCATCATGTAATCTGGGCCAAGGTCCAATACTACGTAAGCCAAGGGTTTAACTGAGATTTTTCTCAAAATTACCATTCTCCCATCTACATGTTCTCTTTACCAGCATCATCTTCTCATTGTGATGCCCCCATCTACACTCTCCCTCTGCACAAACCATGAGAATTCCTAATTGACACCCAACCCAATGAACATCACCACCTTTGTTCCTTCTCCCTCCTGGTACAGGGATTTGAATATCTCCATTCCTGAGTGAGTGTGTGAAGGGAAGGCTTTGGTGAACATCAGCAAGCACGGCTGGTTGGTGCTTCCCATGTACTCAAAGGGGAGCTCTCTGGGTCGAATGTGATGATAGTTGCCAGCAAAAGCATCCACCCAGCCAGAGTCTGTTTACCATCTGTTAGTTTACTAGGAGCAGAAAGCAAACCACCTGCTGGTGGGATTCACTTGAACTTGCAGATAGAAAATTGCAATTTCCACAGCTACACTATCAGCTCAGCTGGTGTGGCAGTGACTGAGACATTGTGGTCAAGCTGCCTGATCAGGATGAATAGGAACGGTTGTGGAGTGGGAGAGAGTATCTAACCCTGGATTTGCGTGGTTTCCCGTCATATTTAACAATGGAGGTTCTCCCTGCACCCAAGACCCTAACACGAGGGAACGTGTGACTGTCCTTTGAGCGTTAACTTTAACACCCACACAGGAGGGATTAGTGCAGAGGCTGAAAACACCCGTTTGAGAGGCAGGATGACTAAAAGCTGGGTTCCCTTCCCAGGAGAGGGGCAGCTATGGAAAGTCTCAGAGACCCCCCAGTGCACTTGAGCTGCAGCAGCTTGTCCTCATCACCAGTGTCATGGCTTGCAGGATCATGAGCTCACCTGGAGGGACTCTGTTCTCACTGCTCACATAGAATGGTTTGTTAACGCAGGGGAGGCAGTGTTGGGGCCAAATGCAAAAGCTGTCCTGTGGCTAATGGGTCAAAGTGCTACGATTCAGCTTGTCAAGTCATGAAGCTTTTTAACATTTCAGTTCTTGAAACTGAGGTTTTAATACTGGGAAACCCAGTCTAGGATGTTCTATGTAAGAGAAATTCTCATGACACCAGGGACATAAAAATAAAGCATGTTGCTTCTTTGGCTGTCATCTATTTCTCATGGGCTGGTGAGAATAAACCATCAAGTTTATGCTCTGCCCAACCACACCTGCCCTCTGTGGATTCTCTAGGATGGAAAAGACTCTACTTCTTACCTGACATTTCCATGTTTGTTCTCCTGTGCTCAACTTCAGACTGTCACACTGTTCTTCCTGTTCCCTCGGTTCTGTCACAATGACCGTGATGTCTTCCTAATTAAAGTTGGGTGTAGAAAGAAAGCATAATTAGATGACAGAGTCATCAGGTTCCTGAGAGGAATCCATATCTTCCAAGAGAATACAAAAACATGAAACATTGTTAAATCCTTACACTTTCAGTATAAGCGCCCAGAGGACCATGTGCAGTGATACAGGTGACCCCTTATTCCCAGAGTACATGGCAGGATGGCTGCCATCATGTCTGCTGTAGAATCGGAGGCTGCGGAAGGGGTAACTAACCTGCCCAAGGACGATGACCACTGGCTTCTTGAGCTTCATGTGCTGACCCCCTCGACAAAGCTATATGGATCTCTACAGCCTCTCCAGGAAATGCTGTGCACAGCACAAGACAGTAACCATCTAAAAGAAGCCTTTCTCCACCTCCCATATATGGGACGTTGAGTGTCTCCTAGATGGGAGGTCAAAAAGGCAAGGAGGACTAGTATACAGGACAGTGCCTTATGACTTACTGTAGCTTCCTCTACACACACTGGAACCCTAAAAAAAATGTCTTCCAGGGCTGCACCCAGAAATCTGAGGACCATTGATGTCATGGAATAAAATTAAAAAGGGGGAAATGAAGTGGAAAATGGCAGGCTGACTGTGGATTAGCTGAAGTCGGGACCGAGCCTGTTAGACTGAGAATTTCAGGGAACAACGGATAAGCGCCCTCAAGGCCACACGCACCCTGAGTCATGCATTCCTGGCTGTCTGTGTCGCTTGCTTTACTCAATAAATACTCTGTACCCTAGTTGCTCGGGCTCAAATTTTGGAGAGAGATCTCCTCTGGGCTGTGGGTATGAAGCCACCAGCATAAATCAAGAGCTTCCCTCCTCCTCTCTGAGTGCTGCCTGCTTCCCTCATGACAATCTGCCAGAACAGTCACCCTTGATAAAACAGTAAACTCTGCTGTGTTACAGCATGATGAGCCAGGGAGTCACTATGGTCAGAGACCAAAAGACAGTATTTTCATGACTTTTTTAACCTAGTCTGCTTTTAAAACAGAATGTGGAATTGTGGGACCAGGTGGCTGAAGGGACACGGGGACACTGTTTACTGGGGAGAGTTTCAGGTTGGGAGGAGGAACCCGTTGTGCTGATGGACAGTGGAGATGGGGGCTCCAATTGTGAAGCTGATGCCAATAAGTAAAATGTGTAGGAAGAGGAGCATGGAGACATTTTTGGTTGGTTTATTTTAACACTCTCGCCCACACCCCCATCAAATACACACAGAAAAGTCTGTTCAGCTTCAAAAACACTCTTCACATGTGTCCCATGAGGTGGAGGAATGTCAGAAGCTTAGCGCTGCCTAATCTAACTGGGAGGCTGCCACAATTCTCTTTATTGTCATCATCTTCATGTTGTGGAGCCCCATCTCCACTCTCCATTGGTGCAAATAGTTCATCCTTCCAACTGAAACCCAAACCACTGAACACCATCAGCTTTGTTCCTTCTCCCACCTGGTCCCCACCAGATACAGGGACATGTACATTTCTGAGGGAGTGTGTGAAAGGAAGGCTTTTGAGAAACATCACCAAGCAAGGCTGGTAGGTGACTCCTCTGTACTCAGAAGGGAGATCTGGGTCACAGAATCTCATCATAGTTACCAGCAAAAAGTATTCACCCCGCCAGAGTTCATTTATCATCCGCGAGTTTACGACCAGTAGAAAACAAACTAAAAATCTTGGGCCTCCCTGGTGGCGCAGCGGTTGAGCGCTGGGTTGCGAAGCTGCCCGCAGCCTCTGCCACGCCGGTTCAATCCCCGGCTGCTCCCCGGCCTCCGGAGGAGGGTCCCACATGGCACGCAGACCTCTCCTGCCGCCCGCTACTCCCCTCAGCAGTGTCCTTCTGTCCTTCTGCCTGCTCTGCCCCCCCCTCTGGCTCTGGGGAATTCTCTCACCCTCCCGCGCTTCTGACTGTACCCAGTGCTTGTATAAACAAAACAAACAAACAAACAAATAAATAAATAAATAAAAAATGCCTCTATAAAAAAAAAAAGAAAACAAACTAAAAATCTGGTGGGACACCCTTATACTAGGCAGATACAGAACTGGAACGTTTGTGGAGGAAAGAGAACAGCTTGACCTGTGTCATTGGTATATTTTCCCTTCACGTTTGTAACAATGGAGGTTCTTCCCACTACCCAAGATCCTAAAATGAGGGACATGTGACTGTCCTTTGAGTGTGAACTTTAACATCCACACACAAGGGATTAGTGCAGAGGCTGGAAGACACCCCTGAGAGAGGAGGATGACTAAATAGTCTGTAAAACTGCCTGCCAACTGAGGGATGACCTCAATCTTTCTCTAAATGCTAGAGGAGCAGCTATGGGAAGTCTGAGACCCCCCAGTGGGAATGAGCTGCAGCAGCTCTGTTCTCATCGCCAGCCTCATGAGTGGGAGGGACATGAGCTCACCTGGAGGACCCTGTTCTCACTGCTCGCAAGGATTGGGTTGTGGATCATGGGGGAGGCAGTGTGGGAGGCAAATGCAAACCCTGTACGGTGGTGAATGTGTGAAAGCGCTATGTTTGAGGTCTTAAGTCATGAAGTTATTTAACATTTCAGTTCTATATTCTGAGGTATTTAGAATGTGAAACCCAATCTCCGATGTTCTATGTAAGAAAGATCAAAATTCTCTCTCTATGGGCTGAGGTACTGGCATCCTAACCAATTAGTATTATAATGCTGGAAAGATACAGAGAAATTCTCATAGACACAAGGGACATAAAAAGAAAGCATATTCTTTAGCTGTCATCTATTTCTCATGGGCTAGTGAGATTAAACCATCAAGTTTATGCTCTGCCCATCTACATCCTCCATGTATGTTCTAGCATGGAAAAGACTCAACTTCTTACCCGCAATTCTCTTTCTTGTCTTTGATGCGCCAACTCTCTTTTCCAGAGTTGCTCTGTTTCCAAACGCTCCTGATCAAAATTGGGTGAAGAAAGCGAGTGTAGTTAACATGACAGATTCATCAGGCAGCTGATAGGAATCCCTGCCTCAAGAGACTAGAATGACATGAAATATATTTGAATCCTTAAGCCTCATGTGCTGACCCTCAGACAAAGCTATATGGACCTCTAGAGCCTCGCCAGGAAACGCTGCACTCAGAACAAGACAGTAACCATCTAAAAGGAGGCTTTCTCCACCTCCTCCATGTGGAAAGTTGTCTGTGTCCATCAGGACTCTCTGGGAAGCTCCCGGGATTCACTCCCAAATTAGTAGGGTCTAAACCCACAGGAAGGAACTCCAGGGAGTTTTCTTTTGCTGATTGTGTGAGCCTCACAGATTGCAGGAGAAATGAAATCTGGTGATCTCTGTACCTGTGTTGAGAATCTGTCACATGACTTTGCACATCAAGTTTCTCTAATGTTACACACATTAAGATAAAACAGGTCAGTGTGTGTTTGGACAACTGTATTCTACAGCAGGGGGCATCACAGCAAGAGTGAATAGGGACGAGACTGTCCCCATCCTATGAAAGTCCATATGGTCCACTGGTTTGTATTTTGGGGAACTAACATTAAGTAATTTTCAGAAGAACGAAAGGACTAAAGTTTTATTTGTGGGTCACAATCTCGGGTATCAACCTAAATAACCATAGATCTGGGAATTCAACTTAGAGGGTTGCTGCTGCAGGAGTCGGGCGGCACACTCACCTTGTAGCCTGGACACGCCTCATTGACAAGATCATGGTTGTGGCCACTGTGCTGGGGGGACTGCTCACAGAGCTGGCAGATGAGCTGCCCGGTAAACTCACAGAACAAGTAGAGCGGCTCCCTGTGATCCTCACATCGCCTCTCACTCACTCTCTCCTTGAGAGTTTGAATGACATTTTCCAGTTGCTTGTTGGTTTGCACATATTCCCTATGACATGGTGCCCTACACAAAGGACAGGGGGAGGGTGATGTGCTCTGCAGTGACGTCCCTGGTGTCTGCTCAATCCAATTCTCTATACACTGGCGGCAGAAGCTGTGCCCACAGTCCATGCTCACGGGCTCTGTCATCAGCTCCAGGCAGATGGAGCATATGACTTCCTCCTTCGAAATCTTGGCTGTGGGGTTTGAGGCCGTGGCTCCTCCTGAAATGCTCCAAATGGTGGCTAGAAGCAGAGATGAGGTAGACACAATTCTTCACAGTGAAGGACACAGGTGACCTCCGCCTCTGTGCCTCTACAATACCATTTAATTGATTACAGTTTATAACAATCACTAAGTAAAAAATGTCTTAATAATGAGGGTTTTGAAAATAAAAAGAATTCTTTAGGGGCGACATAAGCTCATGTCAGAAATACACTGAACCATAATGTAATATCTTATGTAAAAATAACAGTAGAAAAATCAACTCAGTGAAATCTGAACAGGAGTTACATCAATTCCTGATTTTCCCTTCCATGAATCTTCACTGGTTCAAAATCAGAGATGCTCTATTTTATTATATTTTATTTTTTCCTATAAATCCCACATTCTTTTAATATTTTATTTTATATAATTCTTATATCATTTTTCATTTTTGCACAGTGTGTGCATTTTCATTCTATTTTTAAAAAACTGGTGGTATTTTCTCATCAGGACAGGGGAAAGGAATCACTAACTAGTTGATAATCCCCTATCTGAAACCCCTGGGGCCAAATATAAAAATTAGAAATATTTTTGAGGTTATAGTAACATAATGTATAGGTCCCCTAAACTATGTAACCACCCACAGCAGGGCCTGCCATAGCCTTGAATAAATACATTGATAGTCCTGCCCCAGGTAGGACTAACAAGATGAGCACAGTTCAGGGGTGGCCACAACGGTGGGTGATTCCAGGGTGTTTGCATGATCCCTGCTTCCTCATTTTCCCAGTCTTGTAAAACTCCTTGCATGTGAGTGTGGGCATAACCTGAGAATTGACTCTGAGCAATGGCAAATATGATGGGATGTGCCACTATGCTCATATTTCTTTACAACAGACCCCATATTATAGCTGACTTAATTTAAAGACAATCTCTGCTGCTCATCAATTTATTTTATTTTTTTTTTTTTAAGAAGTGGGATATAGGCCATAGTCGTGGGGGAGGGGTGTGTTGTGTGAGAAGATTCACCAGAGAGCAGGGAGCAGAACAGACACATGTACTGAAATACACTGCTCAGGGGAGCAGCGGGCAGACAACAGACATCTGCTGTGCCATGTGGGCTGATCCCTGGCCGGCAGGGGATCAAACTCACACTGCAAAGGCCACGGGCAGCACCACAGCACTGCACTCAACCCACTGTGCCACCAGTGAGCCCCTGCACATCACTTTAAAGAAATAAATGGCCATATGGAAGGCCCATGTGCTATTTGATGAGTGGTGGCTTCCAGAAGCCGAGGGAGCTCTCAAGTGACAAAAATGGACCTATGACATCTACCCACAAAGAAATTAATTCAGCCAACAATTGGAAGAGGATTATTCCCCACATTAGTCTGTAGATGACAAGCAGACTAGCCAGCATCATAACTGCTCCCTGTGACATCTGAGTTGTGCCCAAATTTCCCACATGTGATTCCCTCAGAAAATGTGTGTCTTTAGGTGTAAGCCACTAAAGAGTTTTGCAGCAACCTATAACTGAATAAGCCAGCAAATAATTTCTGGTTTGGGCTAATTTTTAGCCAAGAAATTAGTTAGGGGTAAACATTGAACTTCTTAGAGCCTTAGAACTCTGTAATTGTGGATGAGGGATATGAAAATGTCATTTAGCCAAGGTCCTAAAACTATTTGCATCAACTGACCTTTCTTGCATTGTTCTCACACTTACTGAAATAGTGACAGTAAACTTTATGGCCCAATTACTGTACCAAGCTCCTTACAAAGGTTGATGCACTCTTTTATACAACCATTAAAAGGGAAACTAGAATCAAGGAAATGATTCACGTGGGGGACATAGTTAATCAATGGGTGAGCAGGCATCTGAAGAGTCCCCAGAGGTCCCCAGGATCGTGTGTCCCTGAGAAAGCATGGGGGCAACTAAAAAACCTGTCTCTCAGCTTGTCCAGGGGTAGGTTGTAAACATGGTTAACACTGAAGTTAACTTCCATGCCCAGCACTGAAGAATTCTTGACTTTCCATACCTTCGTTGCTCTTTAATCTTTTCCTCTCATCACAGTGGAGCTCAGAATCATTGCAGTCAGTGTGTGGTTCCGAAGACACGGACTCTGGAACTAAACTCCTAGACTCAGAAGAGGACGGAGTTCTTCAGCGGGACATCCTGTGAGCTATATGTACTCAGACCCCTTCCCTCCAAATAAAGATAGCACTTACCTGGTCAAGGTGTCTGGCTCGTCCTACAGAGACACAAGGACAAAAGGAGAGTTAGGGAATCCCCATGTCATGGGGCTGGGCATGAGGGGTGTCTCTGTAAACCCTCCATCCAACAAGGAAAGCAGTGAGTCCCACCTGGATGCTGATGGGAGCCCAGGTCTCATGAGTCCCATCCCCACCCTGAGGGCCCAGAGAACCGTAGCAAGTTGATCCTCCCAGAGCCCAATAACCTGTTCGCTGACTGTGATCACAGCAGCGTGGAGGGGGCTTGAGGAGGAGGCTGGGAGACCCTGTGCTCCCCCTGCAGGACGTTCTTTCAGGGACCTGCCTGCCTTCAGATGAGTCTACCTTAAATCACTGATCACATAGGCCTTTCCTTAGAGAAGACTGCGGTCATGTGTTTGGGGGAACTAACATGTACTAATTTTCACAAGAATGAAATGAGGATGGTTTTACTTTAGATCACAATCTCAGATTTCAGCCAAAATAAGCTTAGAACTGGGAGTTCAGTCTTAAAGGGGGTGCTTAAAGGAGTCCAGGATGCTCACTTACCTTGTAGCCTGTACTGGCTTCTTTGACAAGAACATGGTTGTGTCCTCTGTGCTGCCCATCACCCTCACAGAACAGGCGGGGCTGCTCCCTGTGTTCATCACACAGCCTCTCATGCTCCATCTCCCCTAAGGGTGCCCTGGCTTCTTCTGCAAGCGGGACACACTCCTGTTCACGTGCTGCCTCACACAAAGGACTAGGGGAGGGCGATGTGCTCAAACATGACAGCCAGGTAATCAGAGGCAGCAGAGTCGAACTCCTAGAATCATGAAAGGACGGAGACAGGGGGAGCTGTTCTCCGTGTTCCTCACATGGCCACTCATGCTCTGGCTCCCCGAGGGTTTCACTGGAGTCTTGATTTACATTCCGGACACTCTCCATCTGACTTGCTGCCTGACATGAAGGACTGTCCGAGCTCCACAATGATTCCTCTTGTTGCTCCTCAACACTACCCTCTCCGGACCCACGGCAGCAGCTATGCCCACAGGAGAAGCTCAAAGGCTCCGTCATCAGCTGCTGGTAGACTGGGAACATGGCTTCCATCCTCATCCTCTTGGCTGCGGGTGCTGAGGCCGTGGCTCCTCCTGAAACGCTCCAAATCATGGCTAGAGGCAGAGATGAAGTAGACACATTTCTTCACAGTGAAGGACACACAAGTGACCTGGGCCTTTGTGCCTCCATGAATACCATTTAATAGACTACAGTTTATTTCTAAAAATTACATAGTAAGAAATATCTTAATAATGAGGGCTTTAAAAGAAAAATATTTTTTTAGGGGCAACATAAACTCAAATACACTGAACCATAATGTAATGTCTTGTGTAAAAGATAACAGTAGATAAATAGACTCAGTAAAATTGGAACGTTGAGTTACATCAATTTCTGGTTTCCCTTCCATGTGTCTTTATTGAATCAAACTCAGAGATACTCTATTTTAAATAGCTGGAGGTATTCACTTGTCAGAACAGGTGAGATGAATCACTTACAGGTTGATAATCCTTTATCTGAAATACCCGGGGCCAAATATAAGAATTCAGAATATTTATGAGGTTATCATATAATGTACAAATACTCTAAAATATGTGCCCACCCTCAGCAGGGTCTGCCATAGCCTTGCATCAATACATCCACAGTTCTGCAGCAAGTAGGACTAATGAAGATGTTAAGTAGAGTCAGATAAGTGCAATTCAGGGGTGATCAAAATGAGGGCATCTCCAAGGTGTTTGCATGATCCCTGACCCCTCATTTTCCCAGCCTTGTAAAATTCCTTCCATTTGAGTGTGGGCATAACCTGAGAATTGCCTCTGAGCAATGGCAAACATGATGGGATGCGCCTCAATGGTCATGTTTCCTTATGTAGGACCCCATATTACAGATGACTTAATTTAAAGATGGTCTCCTCAGCTCAGCTCACTTTAAAGAAATAACAGGCCAGGGGGAAGGCCCATGTGCCAGGTGATGAGTGGTGGCTTCCAGAAGCGGAGGCAGCTCTCAGGTAACAAGAGTCAGGCCCTAAGTCCTACACCCACAAAAACAGGAATTCTGCCAACAATTGGAAGAAGATGGGGAGAGGATTATTCCCTACCTGAGTCACCAGATGACACGCAGCCCAGCCAGCACCATAATTGCTCTTTATAATCACACCTGAGCTGTGCCCAGATTTCCCACACATGATTCTTTCAGAAAATGTGTCTTTAGCTTTAAGCCACTAAAGTGTTCTAGAGCAACATATAACTGAAAAAGCCAGCAAATAATTTCTGGTTGGAGCTAATATAGCAGAGAATGAAAAAAAGGGAAACATTTAGCTTTTTAGAGTCTCTGAAATCTGTAGTGGATGTAGGATTTGATTATGTCATTTGAGCCAAGGTCCTAAAACTATTTGCATCATCTACACTTCTTACATTGTTCTTACACTTACTGAAATAAATATTAAGAGTAAATTTTATGGCGCAGTTACTGTACTAAGCTCTTTACAGAGATTGCTGTACTTAATTTTTATGGCAAATGGTAAAAGGGAAATAGGAATGAAGGAATTGATTCTCTTGGGGGGCAAAGTTAATCAATGGGCGAGCAGGCATCTGAGAGTCCCCACATATCCTCAGGATTCTGTGTTCCTGAGGAAGTACTGGAGCATCCTGAATCTTCCCCTGAAACAACTAAACAAACTGTCTGTCTATCTGTCAGCCTGTCCAGGGGTAGGAGGTGAATGTGGTTAACACTAAAGTTAACTTCCATACCCAGCACTGAAGAATTCTTGACTTTCCATACCTTCGTCGGTCTTTAATCTTTTCCTCTCATCACAGTGGAGCTCAGAATCTTTACAGTCAGTGTGAGGCTCCGAAGACGCGGACTCTGGGACTGAACTCCTAGACTCAGAAGGGACAGATTTCTTCAATGGGACATCTCGTGAGCTCTATGTACTCATACCCCTTCCCTCCAAATAAAGATAGCGCTTACCTGGTCAAGGTGTATGTTTCATCCTACAGAGACACAAGAACAAAAGGTGAGTTCGGAATACCCATGTTATGGGGCTTGGCATGAGGGTTGTTCTCTGTAAATCCCCCATCCAACAAGGAAAGCAGGGAATCCCACCTGGATGCTGATAGACGTCCCGATGATGAGTCCCACCCCTACCCACAAGGGCCCAGAGCACAGCAGCAAGTTGGTCCTCCCAGAGCCCAGTAACCTGCTCATTGTGACTGTGATCGCAGCAGCATGTGGGCGGCCTGAGGAGGAGGCCGGGAGACCCTGTGCTCCCCCTGCAAGACGTTCTTTCAGGGACCTGCCTGCCTTCAGAGGAGTCTATATTAAATCAGTTATCATACAGGCCTTTTCTTATTGAGGAATCCACACACAGCTCATGAGAATGGGCCACTGCAGTGGAGGCAGGTGACCCGTGAAGGTGGAGCAAGTCAGGTGACTTTGAAACCTTTCAGTGGGACTGAGTGGCAACTAAAATAACCTGTGCAATTAATGTTTCTGGGGTCGATCCCTCATGCCTCAGAAAAAGGCCCAGGGAGGCCTCTGGAGCAAGCGAGCTATCAACAAAGAAGAGAGGAAGTTCTCATACACGTGGCTGCCCAACAACTGGTGGTTGTACCAGGTACCTCGAGGCATCTCTCTCTCAGGAGAGAGCTGGACAATGAGAGTTCTGTGCACATGAGACTGAGATGAAATTTACTATAAAAAAAGAAAATTGTTCTTTTTTAAAATATGTGTTTACATCTAAGTCATCTACTTCGAAGAGATCATAATATCATGGCTATTGCAATGGTTTACTAAAAACAGAGCATGTCATATTCCTCAATGAAAGTAAAGTAACATGTGTTTAAAAGGAAAAAAAAAAGGTATTAAATATGGGTATTATAAAAGCCTGAAAGAGGGATCTTAGAAAAAGTAAGAAGGTAAAGGCAAGTGTTAAAGGTTTAAAAGAGAGCGAGTGTTTTAGGAAAGCAAAAGCAAGTGCTGAAGGTCTGAGAGAGGTGGTAGAAAAGAAATTTGAAGAAAGTGATAAAAAGGCCAAAGAAAGAAAAACTAAAAAATCAAAAGCAAGTAGGTCTGAGAAAGGAAGGAAATTTTTTAGAAAGCAAAGAAAGTGTGTTAAAATGTAGTGTTCTAAGAAAGAAAGAAAAAGTAAAAAAAAAAGCAAAAGCAAGTGTTAAAGAAAAGTAATAAAGCAAAGTGTTTAGGTGTGAGAGAGGAATCCTAGGGAAAACAAATGTGTATGTGCTGCAGTGACTCACTAGAAACTATAAAAGGACAAGTGATTCTAGCAGTTTATTTCATTAGCTCCAGAGATGGGACATGGCCTTGAAGACCTACATTGACAGGGAGACTAGTCAGGCTGAGGAAAAACAGAGAAAAAAAAGAAAAAAGGGAGAAGGACAAGAGAAGGGCTCAGTATACAGTAGTTGGCACTGCCAGCCCCCTGCCACTTAAGAATCTCCCAAGGGCCCAACATCCCAGGCTTCAGGACCTCAGCCAGTTTGTGGGCTGCCAGCCTGATTCTACTGCCACAAGCTGGGGCATCTCAGCCAGTAGTGTCTGAAGAAGCCACCCCCACGCCTTGTCCTCAGTGCCCCTGCACAGGGCACTACAAGAGGGACTGTTTCACTCTGAGAGAGACAGGGGGGCAGCCCAAACCACAGAAAAGATGGGAGGACAGGCTTGACCATCAGCTGCCTCTGACTATGAAGAACCAGCTACAGGAGAAGAAAATGTTTTCTAAAGAAGCCCAGAGGTGAGACAATCCTCAGGTGACCCTAGAGTGGCAGACCAAAAAAAAAAAATCACCCTCTTGGTGAATGAGGGGTCACTTACTCTGCCTTGCTCCATTTTCCTTAGACTGGCCTCCTGATGACTAGCCTGAGGCAGGACACTTTCACACTTCTAGGGAGATAAAAGAAAACCTGAAGTTATTAAAATATATCTGTATTAATAGACGGCCTTGCAGGTGGGAAAGGGCCTAGTTGGCTACAATCAATCGTGGCCATTATGGGAAACAAAAATCTGTCCTCCTTGCTCTTGTTTCTGATTCCCTCACTAATTTCCCTTATGATTTTATTGTTTGGGCCTTGCATCCACAACACCCTTAAGAATCATCTCCCATTGCCTCAAAGCCAGAAGACTTCACATGGTCCTTCAGACGGGGAGCCTGACAGGATGCCTCCACCCTCCTTCCTCCCATGGCCCTTAGATCGCCGCCCGGCAGTGCAGCCCTGACTACATGTCTGCGTCACCCATTTCCAGCAGGAAGCAGTTACTGTTTAGATAGATGCCCTCAGTAATAATAGTAGTGAGGGGCTCGATCCATAGAAGGGGTACTGAGTCCCAGGGCAATTTAGGGTTAAGCAGGCAGCTTCAGGGACAGTGCAGGCAGGGACTTCAGGAGAGTCAAAGAGGCTTCTGAGACAAGGACAGTGAATTCTAAGGGCTAACCCACACATACACCAGAGGGGAGGTTGGAAAGTCCAGGAGGACGAAACAAAAACAGTACACTGGGCAGTGCCTGGTGACTGACTGTAGCTTCTCTCACACGCTGAAACACTAAAAAATAAAACTATCTTAAAAGGCTGCAGCCTGAGATCTGTGCACCATAGATCTGACGGAATAAAAATGAAAAAGGGAGAAATAAAGTAGAAAATATCAGGCTGACTGTGGCTGAGTTGACATTGGGAGAAAGCCTGGAGACAGACTTTCAGGGAACAATGGATAAGCGCCCTCAAGGCCACACGTGCCCTGAGGTGTCCCCAGCTGCTGTGTCCCTTGCTTTACTCAATAAATACTCTGTACACTAGTTGCTTGGCTCATTTTGCAGAGAGATCTCTTCCCAGTTGTGGGTGTGAAGCCACCAGCATAAATAAAGAATGTCCCTCCTCCTCTCTGAGTGCTCCTGCTCCCTCATGACAATCTGCCACAACAGTCACCCTTAAAGACAGGAAACTCTGCTGTGTTACAGCATGGATGGGCCAGGGAGACACTTCAGTCAGAGACAAAAGGACAGTATTTTCATGACCTTACCAGGATTTAAAAACAGAATGTGGGATGGGGGGACCAGGTGGCAGGAGGGACACAGGGACACTGTTTACTGGGGAGAGTTCCAGGGTGGGAGGAGGAACCTGTCATGCAGATGGAGAGTGGAGATGGGGCTCCACAGTGTGAGGCTGATGCCAGTAATGACAATGTGTGAGATGGGGAGCATGACATATTTTGTGATTTGTTTATTTTAATACTCTCCCCTACACCCCATCACACACACACAGAAAATCTGTTCAGCTATGAACACTCTTCACATGACCCTCTGAGGAGGAGAAATGTCCAACGTTTACTGCTACTGGATCAACTGGGAGGCAGGCACTTAGATGTGGGAGAGGCCATCATAATTCTCTATGGCCACCAGAGTAATTTTCTTCTTCAGTCCAGATACAAGAGAACAAAGAACAGATGCTAGATCATTTCATTGTGGAACTAGAGCCACAGTCAAATACTAAGTAAACACAGGTATTATCTGAGATGCAGTCTCAAAAGTTTCTTCCAACGACCACTCTCCCAACAACATGTTCTGATTATTGGCATCATCTTCTCACTGTGGTGCCCCCATCTCCACTCTCCATCTGCACAAATCGTTCATCCTTCTGACATGAAACCCAACCCACTAAACATCATCTTTGTTCCCTCTCCCACCTGGTCCTCACCAGGTACAGGGATGTGTAAATCTCCATTCCTGACAGAGTGTGTGAAGGGAGGCTTTGGATGAACATCACCAAGCAAGGTTGGTAGGTGACTCTCCTGTACTCAGAGGTCTGGGTCTCAGAATGTGATCATAGTTACCAGCAATAAGCATCCACCCAGCAAGGGTCCATTTACCATTCGTGAGCTTATGTTCAGCAGAAACCAATCTGATCATCAGGTGGGACTAGCTTTAATTTGGCAGATACAGAACTGCAACATCCATTGCTACACTATCAGGCCACATAGTGTGGCAGTGACTGAGATACTGTAGTCAAGGTCACTGATCAGGATGAATTGGAACATTTGTGGAGGAGGAGAGAGCAGCTCTAACTCTGGCATTGATGTGATTTCCCTTCATGTTTGTAACAATGGACATTCCCCCCCCTACACAACACCCTAAAAGGAGGGAAGTGTGACTGTCCCTTGAGTGTTAACTTTAACACCCACACACATGAGATTAGTGCAGTGACTGGAAGAAACCTGAGAGAGGCAGGATAACTAAATAGTTTGTAGCACTAACTGCCAACTGAGGGATGACCTCAAACTTTTGCTAAAAGATGAGTTCTCTTCCCAGGAGAGGGGCAGCTATGGAAAGTCTCAGAGACCCCCAGTGCGCATGAGCTGCAGCAGCTCTGTCCTCATCACCAGCTTCATGAGCAGCAGGAACATGAGCTCACCTGGAGGGACCCTGTTCTCACTGCCTGCAATTAATGATTTGTGGAACTGGGGGAGGCAGTGTGGGGGGCAAATGCAAACCCTGTATGGTGGTAAAAATGTCAAAGTGCCATGTTTGAGGTCTTCAAGTCATGAAGTTAGTTAACATTTCAGTTCTTGAATGTGAGGTATTTATAATATGAAAGCCAGTCTAGGATGTTCCATGTGAGAAAGATCCAAATTCTGTCTCTAGGGGCTGAGGGGCTGGGCATCCTAACCAATCACTGTTATAAGGCTGAAAGGATATAGAGAAATTCTCATACACATTAGGGACATAAAAAAAAAGCATATTTCTTGGGCTGTCATCTATTTCTCATGGGCTGGTGACAATAAACCATGAAGTATATGTTCTGCCCAAGCACCCACTCTGTGTATGTTCTAGCCTGGAAAAGACTCAAACTCTTACCTTCCATTGTCTTGACTGTTCTCTAGACTTCAACTTCTGACTCTCAGACTCTGTTACCCGGTCTCTCTCTTTTTCCAAAGCCTCCTGAACAAACTGGGTGAAGAACAAAGCGTAGTTAAGATGACAGATTCATCAGGCTCCTGAGAGGTATCCCTGCCTTCCAAGAGACTAGAATGACTGGAAATATTGTTGAATCCTTACACTTTAGTATAAGCGCCCCGAGTACTGTGTGCTGTGTTCAGTTGACCCTTATTCCCAGAGCATGTGGCAGGATGGCTGCCATCATGTCTGCTGAAGAATGGGAGGCTGGTGAAGGACTACCCAAGGGCTATGATTATCAGCTTAGAGCTTCATGTGCTGACCCTCAGGAGGAGCTATATGGCCTTCTACAGCCTCACCAGGAAACACTGCACATAGAACAAGACAGTAAACACCTAAAAGAAGCCTTTCTCCACCTTCTCTATATGGAAAGTTATCTGTGTCCATCAGGGCTCTCTTCCAGGAAGTTCACCAGATTCACTCCCAAATTGGGGGGGCTCAAACCCACATGAAGGAATTCCAGGTAGTTTTCTTTTGGTGATTGGTTTATCCTCGCAGACTGCAGGAGAAATAAAATCTGGTGGTCTCTGTGCCTGTTGTGGGAATCTATCACATGACCTTGCACATTGTGGTTTCTCTAATGTTACACACATGTGAAGATAAAATAGCCCGGAGTGTGTTTGGACAACTGTATTCTAGGGCAGGGGGCATCACAGCAAGATTAAATAGAGACGAGACTCTCCCCATCATATGAAAGTTCATATGAACCAGAGGATTATTGGGGAACCAACATGAACTAATTTTCACAAGAAACAGAGGATGAAAGTTTTAATTTGGGCACAATCTTTGGTATCGACCTAAATTACCATAGATCTGGGAATTCAACCTTAGGGGGTTGCTGCTGCAGGAGTCCAGGGCACTCACTTACCTTGTAGCCTGAACATATATCCTTCACAAGATGTTTTTGTCCTCTGTGCTGGGAGGAGCACTCAAAGCTCCAACAGATGAGGTGCCTGTCGTCCTGACAGAACAGGTGGAGCTGCTCCCCATGTTCCTCACACAGCCTCTCACGCTCCATCTTCAGGTGGGTTTCAATGAGACCTTGATTTATACCTCGATCACTCTCGCTCTCCAAATCAGCCTGACATGGAGGAGAGTACCTGCTCCACCATGATTTCTCTTGCTGCTCCTCAAAGCAGCCCTCTGTGTGCTCACAGCTGCAGCTCTGCCCACAGTAGCTCACGGGCTCCATCATCAGCTGATGGCAAATGGGGCATGTGGCTTTCCTCCTCATCCTCTTGGCTGTGGGGGCTGAGGCCTTGGCTCTTCCTGAAGAGCTCCAAGTCATGACTAGAGGCAGAGATAAAGTAGACACAATTCTTCACAGTGAAGGACACGTAGGTGACCTGGGCTTTTGTGTCTCCACAAATGCCGTTTAATAGATTACAGGTTATTTATAACAATTACGTAGTAAGAAATGCCTTAATACTAGGGCTTTTAAAATATAAAGAATTCTTTAGTGATGACATAAGCTCATTTCAGAAATGAGAAATACACTGAACAATAATATAATGTCTTGTGTAAAAGGTAACAGTAGAAAAATCAGCTCAGTGAAATCTGAACACAAGTTACAACAATCCCTGCTTTTCCCTTCCATATGTCTTTATTGGATCAAACACAGAGATACTCTATTTTAAATTGCTGGTAGTATTCACTTGTCAGTACAAGGGAGGGGAATCACTAACAGGTTCATAATTTATCTGAAACCCTTGGGTCCAAAATAAAAGTTTAGAATATTTTTAAGGTTATGATGGCAAACAGTGCAAATATTCTAAATTATGTGCCCACCCCCAACAGTGTCTTCCATAACCTTGAATCAATACATAGAAAGTCCTAGAGCAGGTAGGACTAATAAAGACTTTAAGTAGAATCGGATGAGTACAATTCATAGTGGCCACAAAGAAGGGCCTTTGTGTTGGCCCAACAACTCCCAGTTGTTGGCATGATCCCTCCCTCCTCATCTTCCTAGCCTTGTACAATTCCTTCCATTTGAGTGTAGGCATAACCAGAGAACTGACTCTGTGCAATGGCAAAAAATGATGGGATGCACCATATTTTTGGGATGGTCATATTTCCTTACGTAGGACCCCATATTACAGTTGAGTTAAAGACTATCTCCTCAACTCAGCTCACTTTAAACAAATCACTGGCCATGTGGAAGGCCCATGTGCCATGTGATGAGCAGTCACTTCCAGACACTGAGGCAGCTCTCAGGTGACAAAAATCAGGGTCTAAGATCTACACCCACAAAAAAAGGAATTCTGCCAACAACTGGAAGAAGGGGAGAGGATTATTCCCCACATCAATCACAAGATGGCACACAGCTGAGCCAGCACCAAAACTGCTCTTTTTGACCCCACCTAAGCTGTGTTCAGATTTCCCACACACATTCTCTCAGAAACTGAATCTTTACCTTTAAGTCACTAAAGTGTTCTAGAGCAACATATAACTGAATAGGCCAACAAATAATTTCTGGTTAGGGTTAATTTGGCAGAGAAATGAATTAGGGGGAAACATTGAGCTTTTCAGAGCCTTAGATGTCTGTAAATGAGGATGAGGATTTGAAAATGTCATTTGGGTCAAGGTCCTAAAATTATTTGCATCATCTACCTTTATTGCATTGTTCTCACACTTAGTGAAATATTAGCAGTAAACTTTATAGCCCAGTAACTGTACTAAGCTCCTTACAAAGGTTGAGGCACTTAATTTCTATGACAACTGCTAAAAGGGAAATTGGAATCAAGGAATTGATTCACTTGGGGAACACAGTTAATCAATGGGCGAGCAGGCATCTGAGAGTCCCCAAGATCCCCAAAATCCTGTGTCCATGAGGAAGCACTGGGGCATCCTGAACCCTCCAATGGAACAACTACACAGCCTGTCAGTCTGTCAGCCTGTCCAAGGGTAGACAGTGAACGTGGTTTACAATGAAGTTAACTTGCATCCACAACACTGGAGAATATTATGACTTTCCATACCTAGGTGGATCTTTAATTTTTTCGTCACATCACAGTGGAGCTCAGAATCCTTGCGGTCAGTGCAAGGTTCTAAAGACATGGACTCTGGGACTGAACTCCTAGACTCAGAAGAGGACGAATTTCTTCAGTGGTTCATCCCGTGAGCTCTACATACTCAGACCCTTTCCCTCCAAATAAGGATAGCGCTCACCTGGTCCTGGTGTCTTTCATGTCCTGCAGAGACACAAGGACAAAAGGTGAGTTACAGAATCCCCACGTCATGTGCTTGAATGAGGGGTGTCTCTGTAAACCCTCCATCCAACAACGAAAGCAGTGAGTCCCCCCTTTTACTGACAGACGACCCAGTCTCATGAGTCCCATCCCTACCCCGAGGCCCAGAGCATGGAAGCAAGTTTATCCTCTCAGAGCCCAGTAACCTGCTTGTTGTGACTGTGATCACAGCAGCGTGTGGGCGGCCTGAGGATGAGGCCAGGAGATCCTGTACTCCCTCTGCAAGACATTCTTTCAGGGACTTGCCTGCCTTCAGATGGGTCTACATTAAATCACTCATCACATAGGCCTTTCCTTAGTGAAGAATCCACACACAGCTCATGAGAATGGGCCACTGCATTGGGGGCAGGTGGCCCATGCAGATGGAGCAAGTCAGGTGATATTGAAAACTTTTATTGGGACTGAGTGACAACCTAAATGAAGACTCCCCCAATTATTGTTTCTGGGGTAGATCCCTCATGCCTCGGAAAATAGTCCATGGAGGACTCTTAGAGCAGTGAGCTATCAAGAATAAAGGGAGGAAGTTCTCATACACTTGACTTCCCAAGAACTGGTGGTTGCACCAGTCATCTAGAGGAGTCTCTCAGTAAAGAGCTGGACAATCAGGGCTCTGCATACGGGACTGCGATATATCCTATTGTAAAGAAAGAAAATTGTTCTCTTTTAAAACATGTGTTTACATCTAAATCATCTAGTTCAAAGACATAATAGTATCATGGCTATTGCAATGTCTTACTAACAACAGAGGATGTCATAATCCTAAATGAGTGTAAAGGGAGATGTGCCTTTAAAAGAAAAAAAATGTATTAAAGATGGATATTGTAAAGATCTGAAAGAGGGATCTTAGAAAAAGTGAGAACGTAAAAACAAGTGTTAAAAGTCTAAAAGATAGTGAGAGTGTTTAAAGAAAGCAAAAGGAAGAATTGAAGGTCGAGATGGAGGAAAAGAAATTTTAAGAAAGTGTTAAAAAGGCCAAAGCAAGTAGTAAAAACACAAAAGCAAGGTCTGATAAAGGTTTGATAAAGGAAGGAAATTGTTAAGAAAGCAAAAGAAAGTGTTAAAAGTGTTGTAAGAAAGGAAGAAAAAGTAAAAAAAAAAAAGCAAAAGCAAGTGTTAAAGTAAGAAAGCAAAGAAAGTGTTTAGGTGTGAGAGAGGGATCTTAGGAAAAACAAACGTGTACATGCTTCAATGACTCACTACAAACTGTAAAAGGACAAGTGATTCTAGTAGTTTATTTCTTTATCTATAGATTGCACATGACCTTGAAGACCTACATTGACAAAGCAGAGACCAGTAAGGCTGAGGATAAACAGAGAAAAAAAAGAGAGAGAAGGAGAAGAAACAGTATATGGAAGTTGCCGCTGCCAGCCCACTGCTACCTCAGACTCACCCGAAGGCCCAGGTATCCCAGGCATAAGGGAACTCACCCCGTTCATGGGTTGCCACCTTGCTTCTACTACCAGTTTCTACTATCAGAAAGCAAAAGCTGGGATACCTCAGCCACAAGTGTCAGAAGAAGCTACCCCCACACCGTGCCCTCAGTGCCACTGCACAGGACACTGTTCCACTTTCTGAGAGATGGGGGGCAACCCAAACCTAGGCCAAGATGGGGGGCAGACTTTACCATCAGCTGTCTCTGACTATGAAGAACCAAATACAGGAGAAGAAGACATTTTCTAAAGAAGCCCAGAGGTGAGACAAACCTCAGGTGACCATAAAAGTGGCAGACAAAAATAAATCACCCTCTTGGTGAATAAGCGGCCACTTAATCTGCCTTGCTCCATTCTCCTTACACTGGCCTACTGACACCTAGCCTGAGCCAGGGCACTTTCACACTTCTAATGAGATAAAAGAAAACCTAAAGTTATTAAAAAATATCTATAGTATAGAGGGCCTTAGAAGCGGGACAATGGCCTAGTTAGGTACAATCAATCTTGGTCTCTACAGAAACCAAATTTTGACCTGGTTGCTCCCCTTTCTGGTCCTCTCACTAATTTTTATTGTTTTCCTGTTTGGGCCTTGCATCTTCAACACCCTCATCAGAATCATCTCCTGTCGCCTCAAAGCCAGAAGACTTCACATGGTCCTTCAGACGGAGCCTGACAGGACGCCTCCATCATCCTTCCTCCCAGGTCCCTTAGATCTCCGCCCTGTAGTGGCACCCTGACTGCTCACCCGCATCACCCATTTTCAGCAGGAAGCAATTACTGGTCAGACCAACGCCCTCTGTCCTAACAGGAGTGAGGGGGTCCATCCGTAGAAGGGATACTGAGTCCCAGAACAAGTTACGGTTAAGTAGGCAGCTTGAGGACAGTGCAGGCAGGGACTACAGGAGAGTTAAGGAGGCTTCTGAGACAAGGACAGTAAATTCTAAGTGCTAACCAAAGCATACACCAGAGGGGAGGTCAGAAAGTTCAGGAGGACGATACAAAACCAGTGCACTCAGCAGTGCCTGTTGACTGACTATAATTGCTCTTAAACACACTGGAACCCTAAAAATAACTGTCCTTAAGGGCTGCACCCAGAGGTGTGACCACCATAGAAATGATGGAATAAAAGTGAAAAGTGGGAAATGAAGTGGAAAATGTCAGGCTGACTGCATGAGCTGAGGTCGGGACAGAGCCTGTAGACTGAAAATTTCAGGGAACAACGGATAAGCGCTCTTAAGGCCACATGGGCCCTGAGTCATGCATCCCCAGCTGCTGTGTCCCTTGCTTTACTCAATAAATACTCTGAAAGCTAGTTGCTCTGGCTCAGATTGCGGAGAGAGATCTCCTCCGGGCTGCGGGTGTGAAGCCACCGGCGTAAATAAAGAGCTTCCCTCCTCCTCTCTGAGTGCTCCTGCTCCCTCATGACAATCTGCCACAACAGTCACCCTTAAAGACAGGAAACTCTGCTGTGTTACAGCATGGATGAGTTGGGGAGAAACTATGGTCAGAGACAAAAGGACAATGTTTTTATGACCTAGTCAGATGTAAAAACAGAACATGGAATGGAGGGTACCAGTGACAGGAGAGATACAGGGAACCCTGTTTACTGGGGTAGAGTTCCAGGTTGGGAGGAGGAACCCGTTGTGCAGATGGAGAGTGGAGATGGGGGCTCCACAGTGTGACGCTGATGCCAGTAAAGACAATGTATAAATGGAAAACATGGGAATTTGTGATTTTTTTAACACTCTCCCCTATGCCCCATCACACACACACACACACACACACACACACACACACACACACAGAAAAGTCTGTTCAGCTACAAAGACACTCGTCACATGAGTCCTTTGAGGTTGAGGAATATCCAAAGCTTAATGCTGCTGAGTCAACTAGGAGGCTGTCATAATTCTCTTTATTCTCATCATCGTCATATTGTGGTGCCCCCATCTCCACTCTCCATCTGCACAAATAGTTCATCCTTCCAACAGAAACCCACCCACTAAACATCATCCTTGTTCCTTCTCCCACCTGGTCCCCACCAGGCACAGGGATGTGTAAATCTCCATTTCTGAGAGGGTTTGTGAAGGGAAGGCTTTTGATGAACATCACCAAGCAAGGCTGGTAGGTGACTCCCCTGTACTCAGAGGGGAGGTCTGGGTCGCAGAATCTCATCATAGTTACCAGCAATAAACATCCACCCTGCCGGAGTTCATTTATCATCGTGAGTTTACGACCAGTTGAAACGAAACTATCCATCTGGTGGGACTCGCTGTAATTTGGCAGATAAAAAACTGCAGCTTCCATGGCAACACTAACAGTTCACGCAGTGTGACAGTGACTAAGATATTGCGGTCAAGGTCACTGATCAGGATAAACTGGAAGGATTGTGCAGAATGAGGAGACAGCAGCTCGAACTCTGGCATTGATGTGGTTTCCTGTTTGTAAAAATGAAGTTCTCCCTGCTAGGCAAGGCCCTAAAATGAGGGACGTGTGATTGTCCTTTGAGTGTGAACTTTAACATCCACACGATTAGTGCAGAGGGTGGAAGACACCCCTGAGAGAGGAGGATGACTAAATAGTCTGGAGCACTAACTGCCAACTGAGGGATGACCTCAGTCTTTCACTCAAGGCTGGGTTCTCTTCCCAGGAGAGGGGCAACTATGGAAAGTCTCAGACACCCTCAGTGCGCATGAGCTGCAGCAGCTCTGTCCTCATCACCAGCCTCATGAGCAGCAGGAACATGAGCTCACCTGGAGGCACCCTGTTCTCACTGCTCACAAAGAATGGTTTGTGGAACCTGGGAGAGGAAGTCTTAGGGACAAATGCAAACCCTGTATGGTGGTGAATGCGTCAAAGTGATATGTTTGAGGTCTTCAAGTCATAATGTTCTTTATGATTTCAGTTCTTTAAGCTGCAGTATTTATAATGTGAAACCCAGTCTAGGATGTTCTCTGCAAGAAAGATAAAAATTCTGTCTCTACGGGCTGAGCTACTGGCATCCTAACCAATCACTATTATACAGCTGAAAAGATACAGAGAAATTCTCAAAGACACTAGGGATATACAAATAAAGCATGTTTCCTCGGCTGTCATCTATTTCTCATGGGCCGATGAGATTAAATAATCAAGTTTATACTCTGCCCAATCACGCCCCCTGTGGATGCTCTAGAATTGAAAAGACTCAATTTCTCATCACCCATTCCCCTGTTTGTTCCGTGCTCAACTTCAGACTGTCACATTGTTCTTCCTGTTCCCTTAGTTTTGTCAGAGTCTTCTCGAGTTTTTCCGGATCAAAATTGGGTGAAGAAAGAAAATGTAGTTAAGATGACAGATTCATTTACCAGATTCCTGAGAGGAATCCCTGCCTCCCAAGAGAGTAGAAGAAAATGAAGTATTGTTAAATCCTTATACTTTTAGTATAAGTATAATAAGTATAAGTATAATAAGTATAATAAGTATAAGTATAATAAGTATAAGTATAATATAATAAGTGTAAGTATATAATATATAATAAGTATAAGTATATAATAAGTATAAGTATAATAAGTATAATAAGTATAAGTATAATCCTTATACTTTTAGTATAAGCATCTTATCTTTTAGTATAAGCATCTGTCCTAATAAGATTCCTTATTCCCCGAGTATGTGGCAGGATGGCTGCCATCATGTCTGCTGTAGAATCAGAGGCTGGGGAAGGGGTAACTAACGTACCCGAGGGCTATGACTATCGGATTCTTGAGCCTCATGTGCTGACCCTCAGGTGGTGCTATATGGACCTCTACAGCCTCACCAGGAAACGCTGCACCCAGAACAAGACAGTAACCATAAAAGAAGCCTTTTTCCACTTCCTCTATATGGAAAGTTGTCTGTGTCCATCAGGACTCTCTTATAGGAAGCTTCCCCAGATTCCGTTCTCAATTTAGTGGGGCCCAAACCCACATGAAGGAAATCCGGGCAGTGATCTTTTGCTGACTGGTTTAGCTTCACAGACTGCAGGAGATATAAAATCTGGTGGTTTCTCTGTGCCTGTTTTGGGAATCTGCCGCATGACCTTGCACATCATGATTTCTCTAATTTTACACACATGTGAACATAAAACAGGCTGGTGAGTGTTTGGACACTGTATTCTACAGCAGGGGGCATCACAGCAATAGCAAATAGGGGGACAAGACTATCGCCATCCTATGAAAGTCCATATGGACCATGGGAATTGTTTCGGGGATTAACATAAACTAATTTTCAGAAGGACATTTGGGTATATGAAAGACAGTAAAAGTTCCACGATGGTACCTCAACGCTGCCCTCTTGGCACCCGTGGCAGCAGCTGTGCTCACAGTAGAAGCTCACAGGCTGTGTCATCAGCTGACCGCAGATGGGACACTTGGATTCTAGCCTTATCCTCTTGGCTGAGGGGGCTGAGGCTGTGGCTGTTCCTGAAAGCTCCAAATCGTGGTTAAAGGCAGAGATGAAATAGACACAATTCTTCACAGTGAAGGACACACAGGTGACCTGGGCCTTTGTGCCTCCACCAATACTGTTTAACTGATTACAGTTTATTTGTAACAATTACATCGTCAGAACTGTCTTAATAATCAGGGCTTTTAAAAGAAAAATAATTCTTTAAGGGCAAGATAAGCTCATTTCAGAAATGCAAGAACCATAATGTAATGTCTTGTGTAAAAGATAACAGAAGATAAATCAGCTCAGTTAAATCTGAACACAAGTTACATCAATTTCTGCTTTTCCCTTCCGTGTGTTTACTGGCTCAAACTCAGATACTCTATTTTAAGTTGCTGGCTGTATTCACTTGTCAGAAGAGGAGAGAGGAATCACCTAAAGCTTCATAAACACTTATCTGAAACCCTTGGGGCCAAATATAAAAATTCAGAATATTGGGGCCTCCCCAGTGGCGCAGTGGTTGAGCGCTGGGTTGCAAAGCTGCCCGCAGCCTCTGCAGTGCCGGTTCGATCCCCGGCTGCTCCCGGGCCACCAAAGGAGGGTCCCACATGGCGCGCAGACCTCTCCTGCCGCCCGCTGCTCCCCTCAGCAGTGCACCTCGGTACTTCTGCCTGTTCTGTTCCCTGCTCTGGCTCTGGTGAATTCTCTCACCCTCCCCACTGTTCTGACTGTACCCAGTGCTTGTATAAATAAATAAATAAATAAATAAATAAATCTTTAAAATAAATAAATTTAAAAAAATGTATAAAGATCTAAATGTAAAAATAATTAAAACCTGTTGTAAGAAAACTTCAGGGACAAACGAGTGTTTGTTACCTTGGACTAGATATTGGATGACATCAAAGACCAAAAATGAAAAAAAGATGGGGAGGATAACAGATACTTGAACTTACAGTACTCCGTCAGGAATGTGAAAACAACTCAGAGAATGACAGACAATTTTTGAAAACCATGTATCCGATAAGGGACTTACCTAGAATTATCACTAGTATCTAGTGAGTTCCTACAAACCAACAACAAAGACAAATAATCCAATTTAAAATAGGCCATGGATCTGAGGGCCTCCCTGGTGGCACAAGGGGTTGAGACACAACCTATGAAGCTGTCCACAGCCACTGCAGCACAAGTTCGATCCCTGGCCAGGGAGTTACCCACATGGCGCAGTAGACCTCAACCTGCTGCTCCCCCCAACGGTGTATTTCAGTAGATCCACCTGTTCTGTGCCCCACGCTGTCTCTGGTGAATCCTCTCACCCTCCCGTGCATCTGGCCTGTACCCCGGTTCTTGTATAAATAAATAAATAAATGTTTGAAAAAAAAGAAGACTATGGCACATGATATATGATATACAGGTACAGTGAGTGGGATTAATGATGATTTTACATTGGGAGAAAAGCAATGAGGAAGCAGCAGGCACAGCCACAAAGACCTCCGGACAATGAAAGCGACAGAGAACAAACCAAGCAACGCCCAGGGCTTCTGTGAGCTGCGCCATTTTAAAGCTTTCCCGGAAACGACCCGGGGCTGGGGGGGGGGCCGGTAAGAGTGACCAGGGGGTGAATCCTCCCTGCCCAAGAGGGATCAGGAAGAGGGGGAGGAGAGGAGGGGGAGGAAAAGAGGGAGGGGAGGGGGAGGGAGGGGGAGGGAAGGGGAGGGAGGGAAGGAGAGGGGGAAGGGGGAGGGAAGGGGAGGGGAGGGAAGGAGAGGGGGAAGGGGGAGGGAAGGGGAGGGGGAGGAGGGGGAGAGGAAGGGGAGAAGGAGGAAGGGAAGGAAGGCGAGATCAAGGAGAGAGGGAGCAAGAGAGCAGGGAGGGAGGAGACTGAGAGAACTAGTTCGCTGGGGAAACCAAGAGAATGCCCGCCCCAGAAAGCCAGAGAGCACTAGCTAGCAAGCCTTTGCTGACCCCCAGCGGGGGAACTCTGCGCCCCGCTGACCTGTACCTGTCCCGGCAGCAGCGCGATCTCCGCGGCCAGGAGCGCGTTCCTTCCACAGCACACGCAGCACCACGGAAAGTCCCTTCTCAGCCTGCTGCGACTTTTATTCAACCCGCGCTGACGTGTACAGCTCTCGGGCTGCGGCTAGTGGTTCACGCACCGGTTGGGGCGGGGGGAGGGGGAGGAAGAGACTTGGGACTCACTGCAACCCGCTTGAGGCGGAAGAACATCTCCAGCTCCTGGCGCTGCCGGCCCCGCTTGACTCGTCCGCCTCAAACCCGTGACCCTCTCGGTCCGGATCAGGCCCTCCCAGGGCAGGGCTGTGCTGGAGGGCGAGGGGCTTCCCGAGATCACCTTCTCCTTTCTCAGAACCACCTGAGGGAACAGGGAAATGTTCACTTTTTTTTTTTTAATGTGAGGGTTGAACACGCAGGTTTGCATCACGCTACTTTCTCATCTTCCACCAGCATCACCACAGTCATATTCTGTCCATACCCTTGAAATGGGTTTTATTTGGGCAGTTGCAGCAAATCCTTGTGTAAAGACCTCGTGCTCTTGAGCTCAGGGGATTCTACGAAAAGCACTGCAGGGTTTTCTGGGTTTCAACTTCAGTCTGAAGTCCCTGGTGTTTTGGTGGCTTAGGGTTTCAGGGCGGTCTGTGAATTTTAGAGTAATTTACTCACTTGAATTGAAACTGCACCCACTTTTCATGAACCACATCACTTACTGGCTCTGCAGATCTGGCCCTTGCCTGCAGACTCATCTGTATGAAATCTATGACCATTTTGGTCATGATCAGCCCCTCCTGGAGCAGGGCTGTGCTGGAGGGCGAGGGGCCTCCTGAGTTTAACTTATCCTATTCGTTGTCAAACCATCTGAGCAGGAAATGTTGAGTTTCGTTTTTAATTTTGGTTGAACATACAGGTCTGCATTATAGCAGTTTCTCATTGTCCACCAGCATCACCACAGTAACCACAGAGGAAGCTGCGGGGGGAGGGGGGGTTCTCTGGCTCAGCACCAGCCTGGCCCCCAGGACCCCGATTCTGTCTCCCCCTCCTCTGCTCCCCGGGCAGACCCGCCCCCACCCCACAAGGACACCCTCATTCCCTTCTCTTCACTCCCCCAGTCAGACTCAGTTTCTCCTTTTCCAGACCCGCCTCCAGGGCTGCAGGGTGGGGGTGGGCGGGGGCGGGGCCAGCGGGGCGGGGGCGGGGCTCCCGAAGGAAGAAGGGGGAGGTGGGGGGGAGGTGGGGGGAGGTGGGGGGAGGTGGGGGGAGGTGGGGGGGAGGTGGGGGGAGGTGGGGGGGAGGTGGGGGGGAGGTGGGGAAGGTGGGGGAGAGGTGGGGGGGAGGTGGGGAAGGTGGGGGGAGGTGGGGAGGAGGAGGTGGGGGGGGAGGTGGGGAGGAGGAGGTGGGGGGGAGGTGGGGAGGAGGTGGGGGGAGGAGGTGGGGGAGGAGGGGGGAGGAAAGAGCCCCCAGCAGGCGCTCCCTGGAGCTTTCCTTTCCCATAGATGCTGGCGGAGCCCATGCTTGTTCTCCTCCCTCTGCGTGTTGTGGGGACTGGAAAGCGCAGCCCCCCCTGTTTAAGCAGCCCCTGCCTCTGTGCTCTTGTCTCTCATCTGCGGGCGTCTCCTCAATAACTGACCATCCGGTGAGAGAATCACCCGAGAGCATGGTGGGTTGTTCTCAGACAAGAGCCAGTCATGACAAGCATCTTTATCAGAGAGAAACTTGCCCCACAGCCTTTCATCACTTTAGTTTCCAGGACGAGGTCGCTGCCAATGCCAGGGACAGGCTGTCACTGAAATTCCTGCACCCTCCCAGGCAACAGCCCTTGTCAGCCCTGGGCTGTGCAGAGCTGGATTTCATCCTCTGCCACGGGTCCCTGTAGGTGGAAGTGGGCACTGAGGTCAAAGACAGACCCAGGCGCTGCCCTGCCTCCATCCTGCTCACCTGTGGCTCAGGAATGTCCCCACCTCAGGGTCCCAGGGGAGAGGCCCTAGCCTGGGTGTTACCTTGAATGTACACAGGGGTTGCTTTGTGGGGGAGGAGGGAAAGGGGGGTGGGTAGGGGGGGTGCTAAAAGCATTCAAGCCTCTCCTTGGGAGCCTCACCTGGACCTGAGTAAGGAGAAAGAAGTGGCCATGGGCACCACTTCTGGGAAAAGAGACCCTCCGTGTCCCTGTGGACACTACATGGCAGTCCTCTGCCTGGGGCCTCTTCATGGCCTATTTAAGATGTGTGGCCCAGGCTGAGGGTCACTGTGTTATCAGGCAGCTTCCCAGGTGACTGGGATACAAAGCAAGGGTCGAGGACCTCTAATCTGGGCTAAGCCTAAACCAGGAAGGAATTCTTTCCTCTGTCTTTTCTAACTGAAGTTCCCTCTTTTCTGGAGAAATGGATCCCAGAGAAGGGAGAAAACAAACCAGGAATCCACAGAGATGAAATGACGGTGGCCCAAGGATCCCTCATTAGCAGGTCACACATGTGAAAGTGCTTTGCATCTTTATATGCATTAACACCCCCAAAACCCTGTTTTTTTGTGATCTATGCCTCAGGCTTTGTGCCTGAGCACTTCTCACAACAACCTGAGAGTAGAGCCCCAGTATCACATTGAGGAAACCAAGGCCTGGATGGATGGTGTCACTTGTCCAGTTTTAAAGAAAATCAAATCAGACATAAATCAGGCTCTGCATTGGAAAGTAGAAAAAATTATTTTTATCTCCTTCTAGAACCTTCATCAGACCCAGCATGTCCATCTCACTAAACAGGTGCTCAGGAGTGGTAGCACCATGTAAAAACAACCAACCCCACACATCCCCACCATCCTCTGAGAGTTCAGGGCTGGAAGAAGAGAGAAATGGAGAAGGTGCCTGAAATACAAGGTCTGCAGGAAGGGGCAGTCTGAAAACTTAAGTCCCTGCCTGTGGACAAAACCGATTCATAGTAAGGAGAGGGAGGAAGTAATCAAAATGTACCAGGACCTACCCAACTGCTAGAATAAGTAGAAAGGGACTTTCAGGCATTTTTATAACGCGTTCCATGTTCACAAGTCACACACACACCCCTAAAAGGATTTTTTTCAAAGATTCTATTTATTTATATTTGCCTAGAGGATCTGGGATGTAGGCCAGAGGTGCTGGGGGTGAGAGGATTCACCAGAGACAGAGTAGAGAGCAGAAAAGGTGAGTTTACTGAAATACACTGGAGAGGGGAGCAGCAGGCAAGACAGGATCTGCTGTGCCATGCAGGTTAACTCCTTGGGAATAGAATTCAAAACATCAAGGTGGATCTTCATGGTGGTAACATTGAGACTTAACCCCTAGGCCACCAGGGAGGAGCTAAGAGGATTTTAAAAGACCCAAATTAAACTTCTACAAAAGGAAACTAGGGCATATGAGAGAAAGGTACGTGATGGGATCAGTGACTAATTAGACACTGCAGAAGAAATAATTAGGAACTGGGAGTCACAGGAATAAAAACTATAGAAAATAAAACTCAGAGACATATATTTTATATGTGTATGTGATTTCTTTCCATTCGTCTGACAATGCATATATGCATTATATAATTGGATGGCACTTATGATATATATATATAAAAGCACACAGATACATAAATATGTAAAATGTATTTTTAGATTTTTATGTAAGAGCATCTTTAGCCAGATAGATATTCAGAATGTGAAATATACATGAGAAATATATTTAATGACAAAAAAGGCAAGAAATATATATGTATAATCCTGTAACCCTGCATATATGTACATACTCTGCACAGTTAGTATCCATAGTACAGGACCAGGATGGTTTCGTGATCAAGTAGAGAAACAGTGCAGGACTCAAGGTGAGGGACCAGTACACACTACTGTCATCAGAGAGCTGCAGCCTCTCTGCAAGCACCTCCCCCCTGTCTTTTTCTGAGAATGCATCTATGGTTCGACATTAGAAGGTAAATTTCCATGATCATCTACACAGCAGGGAGGGGATCACAGGATCCCACCAAGGAATGCAACTAACTCATGGATAAAGTCAGTGCCCATGGATGGCTTAGCCCTTTGTGTTTTGAGGATTATGTGTCTGTCCGAACATTGAAGTCTTTCTATCAAAAGACACAATGACAAGGTGCTGTGCTATACACACATTAGAGAATATTGGCTATAATTAGCTTCCATAAATTAACCAGGAAAAGAACCCAAGAGGGAAATTCTCAAATCAAAGTAAATCAAGGGTAAGTCACAGAAGCCCAAAGTGCTAATGAACTTACAAGTGAAGCTCATCCTCGCTAATGGAATTAGAGAAAAAAAATGAAGTTCACAATTAGGTTCCTTGTTCAATCCATTGGATAGTCAGAAGTATACATGATGCGTCAAGCACAGCAGTGGAGTCTCCTATTGAGGTTGGGGTAACACTCATATAATTTCAACACCTAGAAATCTAGAAAAAAAATGTGAATCCCTGCACAGCACCAATTCCATTCAAGGACTCTCTCGAGGACCCCATTCAAAGAAACAAAGAAGTATGGAGCAGAAATGCTCGCAATAACGATAAGCAAACAAGAAAAGAGCTACAAGGAACCTCAATCTTCAACCAAAGAAGAGCCTCACATTTATTTGTTGCTGCCTGTAGGTTGATAACAAGAGTGAGTTCTGGCTACATCCTGTCTGACTTACCACTCCCCTGCCTGGGGGACCTGACAACCCTCACTTCACTTCCTGTGTCTCAGCTTCCTCATTTCTAAAATTAAAAATCTTCCATCAGAGAGGACTGTGACTACAACAGGAGAGCACATGCAGAGTCTTCTCATCAGAAGACAGAAACCCTAAACAAACGAATCAGCACAGAAAGAGCCTAGGTTAGTTGAGGGGAAGCTTGCAGGTGCCTGTTGTTCCAGTGGAACAAGCTTCCTGGTAACAGGCACCAAGATAGCACCTTCCAGCAACCTGGGCCTTAGGAACATGTCCCACAGAAATGAAGGTCTGCGACCCGAGGTGGCATGGACAGGAGAGTCCCTGATGCACCACCAGTCCTGGGAAACCTGAAGCCCCATCAGCAGGGAGGAGGTGACATGTGATTAGGAAAGCTGCATGCAGGGGCAGCTGTAA